ATAAGCCAGGAATTTCAGCTTGACCAGTCAAGGTGCCAAATCTTTCCTTTGGTCAATAGAGTCACAACAAAATTAAGATTCTGCTAGCCAAAAGAGTAGTGAAGGAAGTTTACAGTGACTATGTTTAGGGAAAAAAAGCACTGCAGAGATATTTCTCATTTGAGGTGTTTCGTGACTACTGATTCTATTGGCACCTTGACTACTGATCTGGCACCTTGACTGGTCAAGCTGAAATTCTTGGCTGATGCAATTTGACTGCAAAATATTACAGTGTCCCTTATGATAATGCACTACAACTAGGCAGAAATACTCCTTGTTGAAAGGTTTTTTGCAAAGTGTATTACCAATAAGGTTTGACTTCTATGTTCTTCAGCAGAGACCAAGGATTATTTATTCTCAGAGATGGAGCCACAGCTATTTTGGTAGCCAGGATAAAACACAAATCCACTTTAAAATCAGCTTTGTAACTTATGATGTATGATTTGTGTTTTTAACAATATGTGCCATCTGGTGGCTTCATATTTAAGTCATTATTCTTGATAATTAGATGTCAAACTAGGTTGTTTCTAGCTTTTGGAGGAGTGTATGTGCTGTCAACATGTAAATATAACACATTTTAGAAGTGCACATTCTTTAAAATGTTTGCTTGTGCCCTTTAAATTTCAGTAGGTAATATATCCAGGCGATGGAACACCATTCAGCCATAAGGCAAAACAAAATGCAATCATTTATAGGAAAATGGAGGGAGTTGAGGGAATTAAATATAGTAAAGTAAGTCAGAATGACAAAAACAAATACTGGACATTTACATCATGGACTAAATGACAAAGTAACATACTTACAAAAACTAGCAACATTAATAAATACAAATGAGGGCTCTGAGGTTGAGAGGGAGGGAGGAGGGGACCAGGGCAGGGGATAAAACGGGTGGTACTGCGACCTCCCTGGTGGTGCAATGTGTTAGAGCGCAGCACTGCAAGCCAGCCACAGCACTTCAGTGTGAGTTCAATCCCTGACCTGGGAGGTGACCCACATGGTGCTGCAGACCTCTCCTGTCTTGCCTGCTGTTTCGTCAGTCTTCTTGTTCTGCTTCTACTCTGTCTCTGGTGGATCCTCTCCCCTCTGCATCTGGCCTATACCCCAGTTCTGTATGCATAGATAAATACATCTTAAAAAAAAAAGGGGGGGCCCTCCCTGGTGGCGCAGTGGGTTAAAGCACTGCACTGAGAAACTAAAGCCACTTCCTCATGAGTTCGATCCCCACCTGCCCTGGAGGTGACCACATGGCGTGGCAGACCTCTCCTGACCCACCCGCTGCTCCCCTCAGCAGTGTACTTCGTTGATCTGCCTGTTCTGCTCCCCACTCTGTCTCTGGTGAATCCTCTCACCCTCCGCATCTCTGGCCTGTACCCCAGTTCTGTATGAAGAAATAAATAAATCTTTAAAAAAAAAAAAAAGGGTGGTGTGAGGGGAAGAAGAACAACAACAAAAGCCCACTCTGGTTCACTCTGGTTCAAAAGCCCCTAGAACCTGCCTCTTGCCCCTGCCAGATGCTTAGACCAACTTCAAGACAATGGGCTGGGGGAAAGCACAGAACTTACTGGAGCAACTGTCTGCTCTGAGCCCAGTCATCTCTCAGAAAAAGATAGGAGCAGAAACCTAGGTTTTATCACTGCAACGAAATGCTAAGCTTGGCCAACAGAGCCAGGCTGGGTACAGACATGCAAAAAGAGATGACTAACCCCAACTCTATGGTTTCTGATCCTTGCGACTGGGAGAGTTTTGCTTACCCTCAGCTGGCCTGAGTCTCCAGCTGTAAAGTGGATTGCATGTGTTTGACTCCAGACTCAGGGTTATGCCAAAGCAGGAACACTAATGCACCCTCCAAGTCTCTTGATACCTTAATTAGCCCCCAACACATCCTGCCCTCAGCTCATAGCTCAGGAGGACAAGCCCTTACATGGCTCTTGACACCTATCTTTCTGTCCATGTTTCAAATACTGATTTGAACTCAGTGTATATACAATAATTATTTGCTGAAAATTTACTCAGTCACTGTAAGATGTTACAGATAGTAGCCATTAAATACAACCCATAAAGGTAGCAGTCAAGGAATCCCTTTATAATCTTGTCAACAGTTCAGAGAGGTAGTAGAGAGAAAAATTAACAAATAAATTTTAGTAGGTAAATATAAAACTCTTTCTGTCTTCTCAAATTTGTCTCTTCATAGAATCACTTAAGCTCCATCCCTGGCTGGCACACAGTGATCAATACACATTATTTAAATGGCTGAACCAAATGAATTTTGATCTGGAAGAAATATACAGCTTAAGCCTCAAGGACTGGAAAAACCAAACTTAATGGACTCTTCTAAATTAGGGCTTATCACAATACCTACCTTAGTCTTTATGAGAATTAATACATGAGTTGATGAGTTAATATACAGAACAGTTTAGCACATTTTTTTATTCATAAATTTTTTTTTAGAATTTTTTTTTAAGATTTATTTATACATACAGAACTTGGGTATAGGCCAGAGGTGCAGGGGCAGTGAGAGGATTCACCAGAGACAGAGTGGGGAGCAGAACAGGCTGACTGACGAAGTACACTGCTGAGGGGAACAGCGGGCAGGTCAGGAGAGGTCTACCGCACCCTGTGGATCACCTCCAGGGCTCAGATCAAACTCATGCTGAAGTGGCTTTAGCTTCTTAGTGCTGTGCTTTAACCCACTGTGCCACCAGGGAGGGCCTAGAGTAGTTGTTTTTTAAAAACAAAACTCTGGCAAGTTTTAACCAAGAAAATTTTTGCATCATTTACTGCTCACCAATCTGTCCTGATGACTTCTAATGATCTCAGGATGAGCCGGACCAATGACAGTTAGTGGGCACCTTCTGCAGAACTCCCCACACTGTCCCCAGTCCAGTATTGCTGGCACTGCAGTGACCCCCAGGCTTGGCCAACATGGATCGGACCTAATTCCAGATTCCCTTGGACTGGGCAGTTGCTGGGCAGGATGAGCTGTTCCATTTTGCCCTCTCTGATCATTTTCAGGGTCCACTTGTACCCCAGCATGTACCTTCTACTTTCCACAACCAGTTGAAGCCTAGAGTCGATTCCAGTGACTTCTCACCTTTGTGGCCACTGTCTTCCTGCCTTAGGTACAGGCGGTCTCCACCAGGAGCAGCCTCCCGATGGTCGAGGAGAAAGTGGTATTATTAGAATAACTTTAAATTTACAGAAAAAGTAAGTGGATAACGTGGAAAATATAGACCTATGTCCCCTCCCCTCACTTCACCCAATGGTCGTCACCCCTATTACCAGCACCTTACATTCACTAGTGTGGTATATTTGTTACAATTAGGGAACTGATATCGATATATTACTAACTGAAGTCTATAGTTTTATATTTCCTTAGTTTTCACCTAATACCATTTTTAATTTTGGGATCCCATCAGGATAGTTGTGTCTCCTTGGCTTCACCTAGCTATGGTATTTTTCTCAGCTTTCCCTTGCTTTAAGGAATAGTGGTTGGGTATATTGTAGGATGTAGGAATTTGTCTCGGACATGTCTTAAGATGGTTAAAAGTATTGCTTGTTATTATTACTATTAGGTCATATTTAGATTAAAATGTGTGGGATTTGGGTGAGGGAAGTTCTGCTGGATACTCAGAATTTGAAAGAAAGATTTATTTTGAGACTTGGTTAGTTTATCAATACTGGTATAAACTATCTGGACAGAATTTGACTTGCCTACATTATCCCAGCTGGACATTTAATTCCCCATCTATTGTGAGGGTAGCTTTACCCTTATCTACAATGGGCTACCACAGACCATGCACTGCATCATCAGAACGCCTCCTCCCTGCGGTGACAATTCCATTTGACCCGTGAAGCTGCTAGAGAAATAGTTAAGAGATGCTCAGCCTGTCCCACCGCCCAGCCCTCTCTCCCTATGGGAGTCAAACCCAGGGGACTTAGGCAAAATGACTTGTGGCAGATGGATGTTACTCATGTTTCCAGCTTTGGAAAACTTAGCTTTGTCCATGTTTCTATTGATACATACTCACATCTGATCATGGCCACTACACTCCTCTTCTAGCATCTTCCTGCAGTATAACCTAGACTACCTTCCATGCAGGCCTGGAACACCAACGGGGTGGAGTGGGAGTTCTAAGGCTGGTTAAAGCCTAAGATTAGACACCACACAGAGTCCCTTCTGCTAGGTTCTGTTGGTCACCGTGAGTCACAAAGTACACCGAGATCCAGACGAGAGGAAGTGACGTCACTTACTGAAGGGAAAGTGGCAAAGGGACATTAAAGAAGTGCGTGCAGTTGTGTTCTAGCTGTCTCTGGCAGCAGCGGTTTAGCACAGTCAAGTATTACGGTAGGATGCACTTATCAATGTAAATGTGAACATAGCTCTGTCATTTATTGGATTTTACTTTTACCAGGATCAGAGAGTCTGATTGGGATAAAACACTTGCAAAATATTTTGGTGACTGGTAGAGAAGCATGTTCAGATCAAAGAGGTTTTCGAAAGGCTTATGGGTTATTGAAAAAACTTGCCCCAAGCGTTATTGATATAAAAGTTCAAACATGAGCATAACATGGTGTGGAAATCCATTCATAAGTATTTTCTTGTTGGTCTTTAGACACATGGCTCTTTTGATTAAAAGTTGTGATCTCAACTTTGGAAAGTCAGCATTTAAAAAACAATGTTCCCACACCCAGGCGATATGGATTCATGTTCCAAAAAGTGGTCAAATTTATAGAACATATTTATGTAGGGTATTATTTGGGGGTGTGGGTATGGGACTTACCCCTTGCTCCCAAAGAAATCTCTATAAGTGCCTGAAATTTTATCAGGAGTGATTCATCATTTGTTTCTGGCCCTGATCATTTTCACTGGATTCTTCCATAGCAAGTACATCAGGGAAGGGCAGGATAGGAAGGAAGTGCCACTAGCTGATGAATAATTTAGAGAAATGCTCTTCTTTCAGAGACTACTGAGAGTCCTGGCTGACTTTGGAGGAGCTGGATACCGTCGCGGGAGCTGGGTGAAGTGTGAGTGGGAGGAAGAGTAAGACAGAGGTACTAAACCCACATTTATTTCCTCACAGGTGCTGCTGCCTAAGAGGCACACATTAGGCTGAGGTGAGGTTACAACAACCAATTCTGAACTGGGTTTTTATTTTGGAGAGAACATTTTGTTCCTACAATAGGATATTTGTGTGCTGTGTTTTTTTCCTAAACACTTCACAAAGAATATTTCTTTACTCTTAAAATAACTCCAGCTGCTTGCTTTGAGGTTTTTCTCTTTTAGTAACTTTTAGCTTTTGGGATTTTCTTTTGGAATGAAGTATCTCTCCCAGTCCTCCTTCCTAGCCCTATTTCCCAAGGCCCAAAAGGCAGACCCCTGGCATCCCACAGGACCTCTGATGTTGCCGGTCCACTGTGGGAAAGTTCCAGCTTGGCCGGAAACTGTGCTATTTATCCTCCAGGTGTTCCGTTCAATTCATTCCCCCTCCCCCCATCCCAGCTGGGCTGCCCTATAGCCTGTTTTCCGACGTTGAATAGCAAACTTATTTACTTCGACTTTTTTAAGGGTACCCACTCTTGTCTTTCAATGCGCGCTTTTCTCCAGTGAAAACTAATTCCAACTTAGAAGCCCCCGAAGAATTAAGATTCTGGGGAGCTGCTTTTGTTTGAGGAGTTAATACAGTGCAGGACTGTGATTTTATTATACTCACAGAAAGCCAGAGCCTGTTTTGTGGTCCAGATGAAAAGCTCTGTGACTAACAGGATTCTTTCTTCCTTTCTTTTTTTGGGCTACATTCCTCCCACTAGCTGCCAGGTTGTTTCATGATAGTTCTACAGGCTCAAGCAATTTATCACGTAGAGAGTGAGGAGGGGACTGTCTGGTTTCCCTTTGCCCCTCTGACAGCAGGACATGTACTTCTGCAAGCAGGACAGGTCAAGAGCCATTATTTGGGTGGTGTGAGCTGAAGAAAAGAAACTCGACTCATAGCTATTGCATTTCTGAGTCCCAGGCCCGGGGCGCTGAGCCAGGGGGGCAGTCTGAACGCCTGGCTCAGCTTCCGAAAGTCAGAGACGCTTGGAAAACAAGACTCAGCTTTGCAGCCAAACTAGAGATGGAGGTCCTTTTGCGGTAGTCCTGGAAATCCATTCAATATCAATTTTACAGATAGTGAGGGCCTGCTGTAAACTAGAACTAGAGCTCACTAGGCATTGTGCCTCGTTAAGGCCTCTATGAAGGTGGTGGTGGGCAAGATTCCAGGGGATACCCAAACTCTTCGGTGTTGAACTGCCTCAGCTTGCTGTCTTTAGTCACTCTTTTCTCCCTAAGCACTTCGTAGATAAGCACATTAAGGAAGTAAAATAAATAAAATAAAAAAGGTGGCAGTTTGACAAATCCAATTAGTAGCTTAGACAATAGCTGGAGAACCAGGTAATAAAATCATCTCTAGTGTTGACATCTCTGAGCCATTGGAAGTGAATGAATTGGGGGAAAGTGCTAATTTGCTAATACCATGGACCCAGGATCTGCCCCAACAAGCAGAGAACAATTGTAAATACAACCTCAAATGTAGATGCAATCCTCTTGGACAAATGTCTGTGGATGAGTCCTCTGACTTCCACCTTCTGTTCATGGCTTCATCTATCTGCCTAGAACCACGCTGGTCTCTGAGCCAGTCCTGACGGGTAGTGTATGAGAGGGCTGTTAAAGTGTGGGCAGGGAGAGAGAACCCACACTGTATTTGAAACAGTGGAAACTGAGTACAGGTAGGTAACTGTTTATATTGGAGATGGGAGAGGTGAGATTACCCAAAGAAGAGCAAGAGCAGGACGTTGCTGCTACTTCCAAACTGGTCAGCAGGGAGAAGGTGTTTGTTGGTTATTTTTTTCTTTACTAAAGCCCAGGAAGCTTGGGGGTGTCTGGTGGAAATCCACTGTGGGCCTGTCAGGTAGGAACTGGAGTCGCAGAGCAGATGTTGGAGGCTCTGTCTTAGGCAAAGAGGGGTGAGGGGGAATACCCTGGGAAACACACGTGCAAGGGTCAGTCTCCTGGAACCAGAACAGCAGCAGTTTGAGGGCTGGCCCTGCAGGAAACTCCTAGGGGGTGGGTGTGGGAGGGTGTGGGTGGGAGCTCAGAATCCACTCGCTTGTGTGAGTGAACCTGGAGTTTACAGCCCATGGCTGTCATGAAACTTATCTGCAGCAGCATCTCCTGGGATTGGATGAGTGTTTAGGGTGTAGGAGTTAAGAGTACTATACATAGTTCTTGCTAGGAATGTGGGTCACCGATGCTTTTGTTTGAGGGCCCCTGAACTATAATGTTTAACTTATGCTACAATAAAATATATATTAACATACACATATGGATGTTACCTAGACCTATTGGGGGTAATCATTTTGTGATATATGTTTATATATATGTGAAATAGTTATACATCTAAAACTAATACACTGTTACAAGTCAATGATATAGTAATAAAGTTGGGGTTAAAATACACACACGTACATGGGCTCTCCTTGTTGGCACAATGGGTTAAGTCACCGCATCATGAAGCTCTCCAAAGCCACTGCAGCTTTGATCCCCGGACAGGGAGCTGACCACATGGTGTGGTGAACCTCTCCTGACTTGCCCACCGCTGCCCTCAGCAGTAATTTGTCAATCTGCCTGTTCCGTTCCCCACTCTGTCTCTGGTGAATCATCTCACCCACCACACCTCTGGCCTGTACCCCAGTTCTGTAAGCATAAATAAAATATCTTAAAAAAAATACACACACACAAAGTGTGTGCATCTGGAGTCATATTGTCTGTGTTTGCTGTTTACTATCTCTTATGGACTAAACTGTGCCCTCCCTAGGTCTCCACTTAGATGTGAAAGCCCTAATTCTAAAACATGAGTGTATTTGGAGATAGGACCATTAAGAAAGTAAGTAAGGGTCAAGAAAATTGAAAAGAAAAAGAAAAAGAAGAGTATTAAAGGGAGGATCAAGATTCTTGAGCAATTTAATTATGCATTTTAAATATGGTGGTCAAGTTAACCTCATTTAGATGATAAGGTGTAAATAAAAATCTAAAAGTAAGAAGGAAGTGAAGTGAGCAGATATGAGGGAAGAGCATTTGGGGTAGAAGGCATAGCCAGTGCAAACACTAAGGTGGGAATATGCTTTACCTGTGCACTTTTCTATTCAGATAGGTCATTAAGTATTGAGAAGCTGACAGACTCACTGTGGCAGACATCTGCTTTACAACAGTCTAATTTTCACTTAAAAGTTCAAGTTTACGGCCCTCCCTGGTGGCACAGCACTAAGAAGCTAAAGCCACTTAGCATGAGTTCAATCCCCACCCCAGTGGTAATCTACATGGCGTGGCAGATCTCTCCTGACTGCCAGCTGCTCCCCTCAGCAGTGTACTTTGTCAGTGGGCCTGTTCTGCTCCCTGCTCCGTCTCTGGTGAATCCACCCCTGCACCTCTGGCTTGTACCCCAGTTCTGTATGCATAAATAGATAAATCTTAAAAAAAATCCTTAAGAAAAAGTTCAAGTTTACTATCAGGAAAATATATTGTGTGTGAAATAAAAAAAGAGGAAGTAATTAAGGTTAAATGAGGCCATCGGCTGGGGCCTTCATCTGATAGGACAGGTGTCCTTCTAGGGTAAGCAAGAGAAACCAGAGATCTCTCTTGGCTTGTGGGCAGAAGAAAGGCTGTGTGAGCACATGGTGAGAAACGGCTATCTGCAAGCCAGCGAGAGAGGCCTCACCAGATGCCAGTCCTGCAGGCACCTTGATCTTGGTGCTGAGAAAATAAATTTCTGTTGTTCAAATCACCCAGCTCGTGGTATTGTTAACTCAGCCCAGGTGCCTAATACATTAGCTGTGTGGTTTTGAGCAAATCTCACATCTTCTACTTTCATCTAAAAAGTAGAGCTGGTAAGACATTTATCCCGACAGGATGATTAAGTCAAATACGGGTTTAAAACACTTCATGTACGGTAAGTATACACATGTAATATTTTTGCTCATACCTGTGAATTTCTATATCAGTATCCTGGCTTGAAAATTCTGGTCTCATGTTATCTTTGGATGCTGCTTCCAAACTCTCTTCCCCGCCAGTAATTTACAAGGTCTCACCGACCCCTATCTCTGTTCTGCTCCTGGCTTCCTCCCACCACCACTGAAGGGCCTGCTGGATGGCTCACCTGGTGAGGAAATCTGCTTTCCTGTTGCTGTCTATGCTCTGCCTGTCAACAATGTCCCCTTGCTAAGAGGGGGACATATGTCCCTACCATATGTGCTTTGCCCATCTACCAAGTGACTTGTGGCTAAGCCAGTCACATCCCTTTGCCATGACACTGTCCTCTCTGATCCTGGCTCCATGCCATCCTGTGTGGTCTGGCTGGTGCTGTGTCTTTCCCACCTCTTTTAGCATTGCAGGCTATTTACACAGAATCATGGCAGCTCTAGCTATTTCATTTTTAAAGATTTATTTATTCATGCATACGAGACCTGGGGTGAGGGGGTTGGGGTGAGAGGATTTACCAGAGACAAAGTAGGGAGCAGAACAGGCAGATCTACTGAAATACACTGCTGAGGGGAGCAGCGGGTGAGACAGGAAAGATCTGCTGTGCCATGTGGATCAGCTTCCTGGCCTTCTGCTGCAGTGACTGCCAATAGCTTCACAGTGCTGAGACTAAAACCCTTGTGCCATGAAGGAGGCCCCAACTCTAGCTTTTCTGCCCAGATACGTCTTGGACTGTAAAGGGATGAGAGAACAAACTGGCTTCGAAGGTGTGTTTGTAAAACATGTATTGTTTTACTTGTGATTTTCTAAAGGTAGATTGTGGACAAATTGGTGTTGGATTTTGGGAGAAATAATAAAAGTTATATTTGCATGTGGGGAGAAGGAGGTGCACAGTCACAGGCCAGTGGGATGCAACCTCCTGTCTGGGTCCCTCACCTGGCATTGGGCTGGGGCTGTCTAGTTAAGGTCTGTTGGTGCCTCATAAGCCGTGGCTCTTGGGTTTTTGGTGACCCCTGTTTATACTCGTTGGCTCATACCTCAAATTTAACAGCATAAAACCACAAACACACGTCTCAGAGTTCCAGCAGATTTCAATCTTGTAAATTATAAGAACATGGGTATAAACAGTTTAAACATTGAGATGTTTATAAAGTAAGAGTGGTGTGTCTAGCCTTCCTCCCCCCTCTAGTTCAACTCTTGTAAGAAATAACAACTGGTTACCGTTTAGTAGAGCTGTTCAGATTTTTCCCCCCTATGCTGTAGGTGAACAGACAGTCACATCTGCATTTTCTGGTAAAGCCAGAATAAGCACACACTTAAGTTGGTCAGGACTTCTGTTTGTAAGTGAAAAGAAATGCTACATCAACTTTTTTGGGCAGAAAGAGGAATTCACTGGCAGAAGAATAGAAACCACAGGACTCACAGCCTTTTCGTCTCTTCTGCTTCCAGACCAGTATTCTCCATTAGCTGCAGTGACCAGAACCTGTCTGACTCCTTACCCAGCCTTCCCCACACAAAATCTTATTACTCTGCCTTCTGCTCTAAATCAAATAGTGCAAGAAGGACTTTGACTAGCTTTGTACATCATTAAAACATGTTGGGCTGCAAAGAACAGAAAAATCCACTGCAAATGACCTAAACAATAAGGGTTTACTGTCTAAAGGAGGTCTAAAGGATTGGTGTTTTTTCTGGATCTGCCTTGGTTCTGGGTCCGTTTCTTTGCAATTAGCCAACGGATGGTCTTCCTTTGTGGTTGCAATATGGATACAGCAACTCCAAAAACCCCATTCACATTTGACAACATCTTTCTTTGCCTGGCGTCTGTTGAGAGCAGAATCTGTAGCAGGGAGCAGTAAGTGTGGGCAAGAGCAGTGAAGCAGGGAAAGAGTTAATAAAAATATCACCCACTAAGGGGATTGGTGCTAAAGTCTCTGGCACCTCCTGACAGCCTTATGAATGTTTCTAAGAACTGTCGCCTGGGGGACCTGAGACTGAAGCTTTTTTTTTTTTTCTTCTATCAATGTTCTCTTCCATCACAAGTAAACAATCTGACAGTGAAGGTGCTTCCCAGGCAGGGTACTGTGTATGTTGTGACCCTGGTTTTAGCTGCATCATTATCCTGATGGGCCTCACTATGAGGTCTTTTCTCCTATGAATCTTAAGTTGTTAGCTCTGGTTTTATATAAAGTTGTCACTAGCACTGTAGGGGGCATGGCTTTATTTTGTTCTGAACCCAAGTCTGAGGAACTTTGATCCCATTTGAAGATTTTGGTGGGTCGAAAAAAATAGCAATATTTTATCTTTCCCAAAATGCCACTGTTTACACTAACCTATTCAGAACAGAAATAGAAAAGAGGTAAAAATAGCATCTGAGTAGCCAAATAGATGTCCAACAGTCCTGAATTCCAGATGGAACAGACAGCCCGGTGCGCAGCGCCCTCGGTTTTTGTCTTAAATCTTCCACACTTCATGCATAAGAGAGAGCTGTATTAGGAGCCTATTTAACCTCATTTTACTGACAATTCTAACTAGGTTGGTATCCTAGTTACTATTCTCACAACAAATGAGAAGGGAGAGGAAGTTGCTAAGGGAAGTCACACTGAAAGTCAAAAAGTGACCACCGATGGGAAACAGGGAGGTAAAAACATACTGACGACTAGGGCCAAAAGATCTTTTAAAAACTGGCACAAAGATGCACGGGAAGACTGGTGTTCTATCTGCTGGACAGAACAGTGAATGAGCTGAAGTTCACAGCCAGAAATACATTCAGAATATTCTTTATACAGCAAGGACATGAATAATTTATTTTATGCTATTATGACTTTCATGCTGTATTGACTCAGCATGATTATTCTTTTTGTGTGATATATTTTACATAGCTTTTCCAATATGTAGGTTTAAAATGATGAAAAACTTGATTCCAAAAGCTCTGGAGAATTTTGTTTTCCAAACAACCATTTTCTGTGGAATTTTAGCCAAGAAATTTCCTTTAGCAAATTGATTAGTTAGCCATAAACAATAATTTCTGGAACTCTCTGCACAAGAGGACAATGTTGACTTGTCTTGTCTAATTCAGGCCAGGGGTGCTCTCTGGGGAGGACCCTGGACAGTCACTACCAGTCTTTGGGTTAAACTGGTTATGCAGATGGTGAGATTTTTATCCTTCCTCCTAGAAAATTTCTGGAATTGTTAGAGGTGCATTTATATAGAAGGGGAAATAATAAGGAAATAACCCTTTTTCAGGAAGAGAAAAATTGGGGCACTTTTTCTATAAAAGTTCTATAAATTAGCAAACTTCTTACTCATTTCTTATTTATTTTGTTTAATTAGTAAATGGTAACCCAGTGGTGCCATTATTAACTAGATATTATTCTGTGTGTATATCTGTGTTTGAAATTAACTAACAGTACAGAGTATAGAATTTCTTTGCTTTGTTTCAGAATCTGGTAGTCTACTGCACTAATCTTTATACATACACACACACACATACGTATATGCATGTATGTATGCATGTATATATAATCTTATTACTATTAAAAATGATACCACTTCATTTCTTCCCTCATTTTTATTTCTTACTTTTTGAGGGTGAGGACCTTTCATGTTCTGGCAGACAGAATGAAGGCTTCCCAAAACTATGCATATACTAATCTCCAGAACCTGCAAACATGTTTCACTATAGGGAATTAAGGTTGCAGATGGGGTTAACCTTGTTAATCTGCTGGCATCAACACTGGATTACCTGGTGTGACAGATGTAATCATCGGGGTCCTTACATGGCCAAAACAGAGCCAAAACAAGTTAGAGACATGGCACTGTGACTGACAGACTGGCCCTACGTGTGTTTTCAGGATGGGAATCATAAGTTTAACAATGAGATAGCTTCTAGAAGTTGGAAAAGAAGAGACACCAGATTCTCTCCTACAGCTTCCAGAAAAGATTGCAGCCTTGCCAGCATCTTGATGAGCCCAGCGAGACTCATTCAAACTTCTGACGTCCAGAACTCTAAGGTAATAAATTTGTGTTCTTTGAAGTCACCAAGTTTATGTAATTTGTTCCAGGGGCAATAAGGAACTAATATGTATGCCCATAAATTACATTTAAGATGTATTTATGAAGTGTTTATTATGTGCTCAATGTTGCAACATTGCTTATGAGGAGAAGACAGGAAAGTAGTGTAAATATTGCTGTATTGTCTCATAAACCATTGCTATTTTACAAGGTGAAATACTATTTTCTTTTGTTGTACAGACATTTAGCTATCGTTATGGGCTACTCACAGTTGCACAGACATTTCTTTACGAGTGCCTTCTCTGTGCCAGGAACTGTGTATACAAGACAAATATATGATTAAATAACATAGATGAAAAGATAAGTTACTTCATACAATCAAACAGAATTCTTTATGTCCACTATTACCCACTCAGCTCTTTTCAATCTGTTTCCAATTTCCTGATTCTTCAAACTCTAAATCTACAAAGTACAACAGAAGTTTTCAACCAGTGGGGTGTGTGAGTCACTACTTGCTGGTGTGAAGGGGCAGGTAAAAATACAGTGCCTGAGTCTGCTCCTGGAGATTCTGACTCAGTTGGCTGAAGAAACATTTGGCTACAGGATTGTTATTGTTAATCTCCTTAATCTTTTACTTCAGAGAGCATGATAAATATAGTCAAACAAACAAGAAAATCAAGTCACAAAAAGAAAATTCAGTAAGTTAAAATAATTTTGATATTATATAAGTGGACACATCATGTTATTTGATTACATTGTAATAGTTATTAATTCACAACATAACAATCACTCATGCCTATATGCTTAGAAATGAGCAAAACACATTCTTAAATATTAATTTTTTGTGTATAAAAAGGGAATCAGAGTAATACTACAAAAAAAAATACTCCCGAATGAAATCACAGTGAAAGTAGTATATTCCAAATTTATAGAAAACAGCCAAAGAGGCATTCAAAGGGATATTTATAGCTTGATGTTTTTATTAGAAAATAAATTTGAATATAACATATCCAGCTCAAGGAGATACAAAAGAACAACAAAAATAAGTCCTAAAGAGTAGATGAATTTACGTAGATCATCCAAACCAGAAGTTTGCACCTTGAAAAAGATGAATAACATGAACTGTGATAGTCATAAAAAATGGAATTAGTGTTACAGGGCAAGGAGAGAGGCACCACTGTACCTCAAACCTGCTCTCTCTAATTAGGTTCTGTCATCTACTCCATTAAGACAAAACATAGAAGACTTTTAATGGAAGGGAACTTTAATACAATTAGTGTGCAATACAGCAAACATAAAGAATATAGTTTCTAAATCAAACACTCAAAGTTACCCCTCCCCTCATGGGTGAAAGTCCACCCAAAAGGGATTGGCCTAAAGCAAGGCCGGAAAGCCCGCCATAAGTCTAAAGCACCTTCTGTTGGGGACCCACAGAAAAGGCTCAGAAATGGCCAGACAAATCTAGGAGGATGAGCAAAATCAAAATCAAGATAAACGCTGCCACTGGTAACCTCGCCACGGGTCTTTCACCCACATCTGCTTCAACCAGACCAGGACCAAGAAACTAGAGCCGCTTCTTTACCTGTCTCTCTGCTCCACGTGCCTCTTCCAGGTCTCCTTCCGGCTCTCTATCCTGCTTCCATCGCCCTCACTCTCCTCTCCAGATTCTTCTCTTTGCTCAGCTCTACCCTCCTTCTCGGTGGGGCAGGGAACCTGGAATCTCCCCTTTTCCTAAGGAACCCCCTGTTACAGAGTAGTCGTAGTAGGTGGTGTTCATATTAGTGTTAGGTATTAGAACATCTCATGCTCAATGTCAGAGAAATGTTTTTCCAAGCAGATACAGATAAGCATGTGTTTCCCTACATTTCTGGGGCCTCTCAGCATCAGTGTGATGCTGGCCACTGACCTCTAAGCAAACTGACTTGTGCCCTTTTGAACCAAAGCATTAGCCTGTATGTAATCCCTCAGCTCTCTCTCCCCCTCTTCCACTTCTGCTGTGAGCTTGAGGTCATGTGTTGAGATCATGAGCCATTCAGTGGAAGCAGCCTGGATTACTGCATCCCCAAAGGAAGGAAAGACATTCTGGGGAGTCGTTGAAGACATAGCACTTTGTGTGAGCAAGAAATTAAACTTTGCAAAGCCCCTGGCTTGCGTTTCCATTTTTTTTATTAGTTCATGTTTTATAAAGTGTATTTTACCAATACTATAACTTAACCAATTTATCATGAAAGTTAAAGTACAGGACAGAGTGACGAAGGGGAGAAAAGCTGCGCTCTTCAAAGTTCATTATTTTTCCTATTTGTTGTCAGATAAATATAGCAAAGCACCAGTTAGATACTAAGACCTAATAGCCTGGTTGTGTGTCCACACACACACACACACACACACACACACACACACACACACAGCGGGTCCTGAGATAACGATGTTTTGTTTAATGTTATTTGCATATAATGTTGATGAGTCTCCCAGCCAGAGCCATTTTGTGTGTGTGTAGTTTGCACATTCTCCCTGCGTCTGCGTGGGTTTCCCTGTGTGGTGCTCTGTCTTCCTCCTACCTCCCAAAGATGTGCTGTGAGGATTAGTGACATGTCTGCCTCATTCTGGTCTGAATGGGCTTCTGAGAGAGTGACCTGGGGCAGACAGGCGTCTTGTCCAGGCTGGGTTCTTGCCTGGTGGCCTGAGCTGCAGGAATAGGCTCTGGCCTCCAGCTGCCCTGAACCGGAAGAAGCAGGTTGGGAAATGAATGAATGAATGCTAAAGTATTTGTATTTCTTTTTTTTTGAAATCTGATGATGTTTTTGTGACTAGAAATATGCCAGAGGAACTTAACTTTAGATCAGTTAGCCTGTGGTAAAATTAATTTCATTGTATGTTTCTTTTTTAAAGATTTATTTTGTACATACAGAACTGGGGTACAGGCCAGAGGCTCAGGGGTGGTGGGAGGCTTCACCAGAGACAGAGTGGAGAACAGAACAGGCAGATCAATGAAGTACACTGCTAAGGGGAGCAGCAGGCGGGTCAGGAGAGGTCTGCCCCACCATGTGGTCACCTCCCGGACAGGCGGGAATTGAACTCATGCGGAAGCGGCTTTAGATTCTCAGTGCTGTGCTTTAACCCGCTGCGCCACCAGGAGGGCCCCTCTTTTTTTTTAAAGATTCATTTATTTTATTCATACAGAGCTGGGGCACAGGCCAAAGATGCGGATTGCGAGACGATTCACCAGAGACAGAGTGGGGAGCAGAACAAGCAGACCGTTGAAGTATGCTGCTGAGGGGGATGAGGGGAGCAGCAGGCGGGTCAGGAGAAGTCTGCCTCGCCATTTGGGTCACCTCCAGGGTGGGCGGGGATCGAACTCATGCGGCAGTGACTTAGGCTCCCCAGTGCTGTGCTTTAACCCGCTTTGCGCCAGGGAGGGCCCTCATTGTATGTTTCTTAAAGTTACCTAAAGTTGCTGTTTCTAAGAACATTTTGAAATGTTGAAATGTTAAATAGGCACACCCTTCACCGATATCAGTTGGGGGTACATGTTAATTTGCTGTCACTTTAGAAAAAGTAGGACTCAGTATCAGATCCTTTTTTAAAATTTATTTATGCATACAAGAACTGGGATACAGCCAGAGGTGTGGGAGGTGGATTCACCAGAAACAGAGTGAGGAGCAGAATAAGCAGATAGATGAAGTACACTGCTGAGGGGAGCAGCAGGTGAGACAGGAGAGGTCTGCTGCCCCTTATGGGTCACCTTCCTGGCCCAAACTTATGCTGTGGCTGCTGACAGCTTCATAGTATTGTGCTTTATCCTGTTGTACCACCAGGGAGGGCCCAGGTACTTTAATATTACTAAATCTGATAGACGACTATATTACTAAATCTGATAGACTAGCATATTTCTATCCAAATGAAAAGATGAATGTAAAATGCAGGCCTCTGCACTAAATTACAATAACTGATTTTGATGCTAGTCCTCACATTCCAGATACAGTAATGCCATCTATTTATTAACATATATTGAAACAATAATTTTTACATTGTTTGTACCTGAGTGTTTTAAAGTGTCACATTTCTGAAATCGACAAAAAACTTGCAACAGACAGGGTTTAATGTATGGTGTCAGCTTGCCTGAGTTCATATCAGAGCTCCACAACCTAACTAGCTAGGCGACACTGTGTGCTATTTGACCTCTTTGAACCTCAGTTTCACTGATAAAATGGGAGCAACAGTCACCACCTCAGGAGTGGGGCGGGGTTAAAGTGGCACTCTATCAACTGCTCAATAGATGCTGTTGTGGGGCCTGCTCTGGAGCTGCAGTGGGTTAAAGCACAGCACTATGAAGCTAGCTGAACTGTTTCAGCACGAGTTTGATCCCCAGCCAGGGAGGTGACCCACATGGTGCAGCAGACCTCTCTTGTCTCCCCTCAGCAGTGTACTGCATTGATCTGCCTGTTCTGTTCTGCTCCCCACTCTGTGTCTGGTGAATCCTCTCACCACCCCTGCACCTCTGGCTGTATCCCAGTTCTGTATGTATAAATAAATAAATCTTAAAAAAAAAAAAAAGCTGTTGTGGTTGCTATTGGTGATGACGATGCTGCTCATGGTTGAGAGTCACAGATTGGGCACCAGCAGCCCATTCTGTTTCCTGCTGCCTGTATGTCCTTGTCTTTGAGCCACTTAACCTCTTTATCAGTTTTTCCATGAGGATAGTTATCTGGTAGATTTGTGGGAAAGATGAGATCAAATCGGGTGTTACAGACAGTGTTTAGTGCAGAGATCAGCACAAAGTCCCTCAATAAACAATGGTGATGGCCGTGCAAACCTCCAGTTGGAAGCTGCTATTTAGTTTATCCATACATACAGGTATCACTCAAGTGATATTGCCTGGCACCATGCTTCTTCTTGTGCCCTCTGCATGGCCCTTTTTATGTTCTGAACCAGTGATAAATCTGATATCGAGAATAGCTATCTATTATCTAATCTTTTGTTTCTGTATTTTTAATATCTA